GTGATGTATTACAATATGAGTAGCCATACTATGCTACCAAAGTCCTTTTTAAGACCTTCAGTGCTCTCTTCACTACTAGATGATATTGAACCTGCTATCCCTTATCCCCATTACACCGATAAACAACCTGAATTACTTTCCCCAGACACTGGTGGCCCTCGTGGAGCCTTATTCTGTTTATATGGATACTCTAGATCATCAACACTGGTGTCTTGCCCGAGTGTCATATTCTTGAGAGCAGAGACAGCAGCAGTCCTTCTCTTTGGTCTGCCCGATGCTGCTGAAGACATCCAAAAGCTGCTCACAACAATAGAAGGTACTTCCGAAAATGCTCAAGTCCGGGACTAAGAAAGGAGCAAGATTCCTTAGATAATTCAAGATTCGAATGAACGATGGATTGCGGTGCATTTGATCGTAATGCCTGAATAGTCCACTTAATCAGGGTGTTACTAGTATAATGACGAAAGGGAGTAGCCAGTCGGGCCTATCCACCAAACAGGATGATACCCGCACTGCGCCCGTCCCCATCACAATAGCGTCTAGACCCTGGCTCTCACACGGTCACAACAGGTGGGTCGGGCTCTACGTAGAGGTATGAGTGAAATGCCTTTAGATTGTGGGTATCGAAGTATGGTGGAGTCTCTGAGCGAAGGCCAAGTGGAGGGCAAGCGGACCCCTTGACTGATGAATGGATAGTTCATCAACACCCTGACCCACCAGTCAACACATCTGACTGGCAAGTGGTAATGAGAGCTGCTACTGCACTACCGGTGGTGATGATCATACTGCCTAGGTTGATCCACCTAGTGTTGATATAACATACAAATCTGTGCTGCTAGAGTGCAAGCCCTCATCGACTACTGCTCCAAGCCACAAGACCAAGAAAGCATCATCTTGAAGGGACTTTGCGGATCCGCTTGAAGGAGTGTACATCGGAGTCTTCATTTTTTCTTAATTATCGTCTCATATCATGCTGCAACGTAGTTTATTCTCTATGTAATTAACTTACAGACTCACGCAGTCTGACAGCACTGGTGACGGACACTCTCAACACTGTCTACTTGTGGTGTTTAATGGGAGTACAAGTACGCTTCCTAAGTGCATTTGCATGGAAGGCATCACGACAGGGTCAGTACAGGTTTGTTCCAGGACGCTTATAACAGTCTAAGGAAACAGGATGGTCAGTTACTCATCTTTTGTATCATTTACGTTATGGTCAACAACTCATGTTTGCTATACGTCGACCACTCTCTGTGCCTTGCGAAAGTGCAATATGCTAACAGTACACAGGAAGATGAGTTATCAGCTAGTGTATTGCGAATTAGGTACTCAAGTGCAACGGGAAAATGGTAACGGAGAGCTGGAGTCAGGAGTTTGCTTACTGGCCCAGTCATACTGGCTTCCATCTCGTGTAATTGACCGTTCTGTTGTGTTATCAATTACACATTCAACACTAGCATATATCGCTCAAGCCGAGCGAAGAACTCAACAAAAGCACTATACGCCTGAAGCTTATGGTTTGACGAGTGCCATGGTCACGCGTGGACGATACTCAGTATGTAGCAGTCGCTGAGATGGTCGAGTCTTGCTTCTTCTGTGCCACCTGATTGCACACGATCGTGACATGGATATGTCGAGGCGCTCCAACCTTGTTGGCCGCATGAATGGCTTCCATCATGGGTGGGTCATAAGCTCCATCAGTCTGTAGGTATCTATCGTGAATGAATATGTTCCTACCCAGGTTATATCAATAGCTCTAATACTTCTCGGCATCAGCCACTATCTCTGCTCGCTGTATCTCATCATCCCATAGCAAGCCGATAGCTGTTTGCAGTTCCAATAGACCTTGCCTCACATCTTTCTGTTCACATAGGGTGCATCCGTAGAGCCAATGTGCAGGGCCTGCCGGTCGATACAATCCCATGTAGTGTCTATAATACTAATATGCAGGGGGTACTACCACTAGCTTCAAGTTCCAGAGCACGGCAAGCTGCCACCTCTGCAAGGGATGGCATGCCTCTCGATAACCAAGCAAAGCCCACTTCTGTCAGTACTTGTACCTCGACATTACATTCTGTGGATCGTGCCAAGTAGAGACTCTACGTTCACAGGTTCATTAAGCATGTAAAGATCGAAGCATTCACGCGATTGCTGTGTGCTGTCTTCACACGGCTGCCCATCACGTAGGAGTACCTACCCGCTAAGTACTAGTCAAGACTGCCGATAACAGAGGCCGTACCAATGACATCAAACCCCAGCAGTCAGCATGCAACATAGGATGCCCACTTGTCGGCTCGCCTGATAGGGTAGGTAGTCGCGATGTGTCAGCCAATCCCAGAGCCATTGATAGGGCCTTCTTAGCCTGAGCATCAACAATGATGCCTGACAGTAGTGGTGTACAAGGCACATGGTCCCATTGTTCCTGATGAATGTAGGTGATAGCTATATATGTCCAGGCTGTTGCAGTTGGCTGGGTCATAAGGACCTTGCTAACATGCATAAGCCTAACAGGTGGAACATCCCTTGTACTTCTCTGTGGGTAACCATAAGGAACTCTTGAGCCTGAGTCCACTTCTTCTTCTTGAGAAGCAGACCAGTATAGCGTAATACAGCGAGTAACCGTAAGGGCTTAGTTCCTATCAGAGAACAGAGAGAGCCATCCTCTCATCGAAGGAATGCTCTCTACCTGTGTTGCTCTCCTCCTGCAGGCCTTGGTCGCCTGTCGCGGCCTTGATCAGCACTTCGGCAATCCTGTCATCGTGAGCTCCTGTATGGTGGAGACATTCGCCCAGTAGAGCCCACGAGGCGGTGCCTGCGAGGCCAAGGGCAGGCAGTAGCGATCGTTCTCTTGGTTTACGTTGAGGTTCGGTGGCGAGAACTCTATCAAGAACCTCTGCAGCTTTATCCCAGCGCCCCTTATTGGCAAGGCTAACCGCTACCAGATGGTGGAACTCACACCACCGTCTGAAGACGTGGCTAAAGAAGGACATACTTCCTGAGATAACCAAGAAAGGATCTCTCGAGCATGATTCAAGCTCGATATAATACCCTTATCCTTCCTAACCTGATGTACCGCTAATCCCACGAGATTGACGAAATCATTGAGACTATTGTCAATGACCAATTGCTTAAGAAGCGCCAAGGTAGTATGATCAGGTTGGACAAGATGTAGCTCCGCTGTCGGGACTGGACAAGATGCCCTAGACCACCGAACAGAGTCTCTTGCAATGACCTACTAGGTGGGAGGAGGTTGACAAGCAGCCCCAGGCAGGCAGTGCTTGGATCTGGATCATCAGTAGACCTTGGGGAATGCTCAGCCACATGCCCTGTGGCGAGCTCATCCTCTCTGTGTTCTGCGCCGTCATAGAGCCTATCCTCCATCATCAACAACAACTCCTGCATAAGCACGACGGACCTTAGTTTATCGAATATCTGCTGTTCTGTCTTGACCCCTCGGAAGAATGCCTCGTCTCGAGCCGCAAGACCAAGGTAGCGATGGCAACCCTCTATATCTTCCTACATGATGAACCGATTTCATCAACGCCATGAAGATGAAGACACCTGGACGTGCAGATTGATTGCCTTGATGAGATTCACTAATGGATCAGTTATGCCTTCCATCTCCCTCAACTGAAGATGGTGTGGTAATCAATACTGACGATGGTCTGCCCCGCTCCACCCTATCGAGGATGTCACCAGCCTCTCCATATCTCCCTCTGACGATCAGACTGCATGAAAGGCAGCAGAGGGCCTATGGGTGGGATGCTTCCAGGATCACACGTTGGCTTTACCTCTCGATTGTACCCTAGCATCACCGCTTCCCCGTAAGGCATGTTCAGCAGCTACTTTCTGTGAAGTACATCGTCGTAGGAATGCTGAATATCTCAACCAAGCCGTCTGTCTGTATTCTACAAAGGGTCTATAGTCGTCTCTCAGCCATGGTGTTCACCGGAGTACCTCTCCAACCTTCTTGGTCCAGAAAGGGGTTTTGGGGCCTGGTAACGATTTGCCTTTTGTATTCCCAAGCGGCAAAGGTATAACTGAAGGATAGACTGAATAAGCCGCTTCCTGAGGGAGGGTCGTACTTCTGATACACAAACTCAGCTTCCCAAGCTAGGCGCATAGACTTGGTCAAGGTGTCTTCGGTGATAGCAAGAGGGCTCCTCAAAGCGTCGGCCGCTGACAGGACCGACGAAACGTGGCTGGACAGTATAGCAAAGGCCTCTGCCTTCAAGTTTGCTATGGTACTCTGAGATAACCCCAATGGTAGTTCAGCTGGGAGAGGCGAGCGAATCATACATCATCTATCGAATGATAGTAATAGGGTCCTTTCTCGATCATATCGGCAATTACCCTATAATAAAGGATTGCCGACGAGACCGAACTAGAGGATGTATTTGGTACTTTATGACGGCTGGCCTAAGAGTGTCCTCCTTTAGTTTGGTGATAACCGACTTCCTCGAATCCTCGTCCTCTATCAAAGACGACAAGGGATATCAAGAGTATGGCATCAAGACCACTACTATGCTGGTCGAGGGCTTTTCTGATCTGCTCCACAGCAGCTCGGAATGTTTCCATCGAGGTCGGAAGGCCTACATGGGTGTTGTTCGGCAGAGTCACCATCTGAATAACTCTACAAGAGCCCGCATCGGGTAAGCATCTGTGAGTTACTGTATTTTTTAGTGTAGGATGTACAGGGATGATCGGAGGGTCTACCGTTATCGATACCCGTATTCTGTTCCTACTACCACCACTATTCGGGCTCGACTCTGATGACAGTAGTGAGAGCATGATGGAGACCTGAGCCGGAACATGATCGGGAAAGGCAGGGTTGTTGTGACAGTCGAATGATGCCGATGGGTTCCTCGTTCCCCGTTGAGGAGTAGCTGCTTGGTATCAATATGTACAGTCCGTGAGCATCTGCCATGCTCTTGCTGATGCAATGATCTATGATCCTACTTCAATGCTAACGCCTCTACTCGCTGACCCAGTTCCTCGATCTCCGTAGCACCCTTCTTCCCTGCTGGATAGCTGTACAGGTGATTCGATGTATGTTCACCTGTCGAAATATTCACTTCTTCTCGGAACTCCTCGGTCATTGCAAGGTTGATCTCAAGAGGGAGATAACCGCAGCGGTCTATAGTGTCCAATAGCTTCTTGCCTGTGGGGGAGGAGGGGGACCAAAATTAATGATGTCACTACGATAAGCCATATCCTTCAAGAGATGGACCGTGTTGGTATGCCAAACCAGTTCGTAGTAACTGATTCATCAATGATTATGGCATGTACAACATGAGTCCCTCACATCGGCGGAGCATCACTCTCATCAACCTCGTCTTCCTCCCCCCCTCCCTCTAGTGGTCCACTCACATTACTATCCTCATCTTCCAACACCAACTTCTCCTCTTGACTCTCCACTATACTTCCTTCAAAAACTGTGCCCAAGACCTTGATGCTGAAATACACCTTCTCCCTAACAGCCTAAATATGACAACTAGTCCTGTCAATGAACGTATCACGGCATGATACAGAGAGCTCCTCCGACACTATGGTGTTCCCAATAGCTATAGTAACTCGAGTCTGGCCTTCATGCAAGCGAGGCAAGACTGGTGTACTATCATCTGAGTTGCTTCCTCCCTAACTGTGCACATGCATTCCGTATCTTACCCCCAAGCGAGGAGGCAGAGTCTTCTGCGGTAGTGTCGATAGGAGGAATGGTAGCACTAGACTCTTGTCGGGTCATATGTGCTCTGTTCAACTTCTCCCTCAACAATGGTTGAAATCACTAGGCTCAATAAACTCAAAGAAGACTCTAGGAAATAATCGTGTATACGCCATTTATAAAAAGTGATTGCTCTGTAATGAATGATGTAATATGATGGAGTATTCAGTCCTTCTTCTGAGGACCAGCTTCACCCATGCTGTCGCCGCCTTCTTGACGCTTTGGGACAGCCGCTGAAGGGTCCTCGTCAGAATCATCCCCATCAGCTCCGCTAGTACCCATGGATTGGAACCATATGGCTGCCGAGGATGCGCCCTGGACCACCACAGTGCGATAACGATGCTTGACAAGGCTCTACCTTAGCGGCAGAAGACATCCAAGAGAATGCACTGTCTCTAGCCTGTTGGAAGGTAGGAGACCATTCTTCCTTCATCTCTGCAGCTCTTGCCTTGGCGGAATCTAACACAAAGATTGCTACTGCTAAGGACAACCCAAGCACGATAATCCCCACCAGCTGCCAGTGCAGCCTGGTGTCCGAATTCACTCTGCTGTAACTGCTCTAAATTCTGTGTGGCACCTGCAGTGGAACTCCAGAGCCCATGTTCGAAAGCCGACGACTACTGGTCCTCAGATTATTATAGGTCTCCGACTCCTGGACTTGTTGGATGTTCTCTGATCCAATCTCTTTAGCCTGATGGATGCAACAGTATGCGTCACACCAATGCAAGGGAGTACCTTATTGAATGCAGCATACAGCATATCCCCCGCTTGATGCAGACCAGAGTTTATCTTGTCCACAGGAATGGCCTCTGACATACCAATATCATCCTAACAGTGTTATCGACTGGTATCATTCCCACCTTGCAGTTGGGTATACAGATCAGGGCCATCATCATCCTCATCTTCCTGTGAGTCTACATCATTGACAGCAGCCGTAGCTCCCTGTTTGTCATCTCGTGGAGCCTGCACGAAAAGTACCCACAGAGGTCGTAGCGGCTAAGGTTATCACCTCGTTCGGAGCAGACACTGGGCTGCTGTTGACCATGTCGGCAAAGGAGGTATCGTCATCATCAAGGAAGCCCCCAAGGTCTTGTTGATTCATACGAGTGTCCACCACTTCCGAGGGCCGACTAGCAGAACTGATGAAGAAGTCTGGTCATTACACAGATGCCGACGGTAGCCACCTTAGACGACCAGTCTCGCCCGATCTCCTCTGTTGTGCAGCAGCGCCTGTGGTGGTCAGAGATTCCTGATTCGAGCTCATGTTGAAAAATGCACTGGTGAGTTCAATCCGATAGAGAGTTTCTAACACAACACGAACGGCGGCGTCTCGGATGTAATTCGTCTTAGTTCAATTGTCGTAATTTCGTGTGTGGTGGTGCGTGTCTGATTATACTTCGCAAGTAGAGAACCCTCTAAGGAAAGACAAGAACGATGTTAAACTGACTTGGTTGGGGTCAGGCCATTGGGCGAGACGCCACCAACGTAACTAAGACACCCTTACAGCAAGGTTTACAGCTCGATTACCTTAACAGCATATCTCAATCATTGACTTCGGCGGAGCGTAGCGATGCACCCTATCGCGTTTCCGTGAGATAACGTCCATCGGTCGAGCCCTACTATGACCTTAGCAAAGGTTTCCAAGTTCTTATTGATAGAAACATCATGATGCAATCGATCACTCCGGCGCGCGAGATCCACGGTGCAGTCATCCGCACCGATTGGCTCAACTATCTTCGCGGGGGAACGGGGGTGTATTGCGCCACTATTAGTTGCCTCTGCATCATATAAGGCGTTATTTGGACGTTTATGTCTCTAGTCGTGTTGGGGGTAGAAAGAAATCGGTGGTTGCATTCCAACTTTCTGACGGTCGATATAGCATCATGGAGTATCTTAGCCGTTTCAAAAAAGGGGCTTTTTGCAATAACATCATAGAGGTGGTCTACGGACTCGCCAGAGGTACAGTGGTAGAATGCATTGGATGATGGACAAGTGGGTCGTTGAGAGGAATAGTCAGATGAATGTTTGTAATATCAGTTTGTATAATTGACTACCTCAGTCACACCCTCCTCCCAGTTCTTCTCACACTACGAAGGCCACTACCATAACCCGCTAGTATGTTCGGTGAAACAACAGTCATAAGAGGAGACTCATTCCAACCCACTAAGACTCGTAAGCAGAAACTGTTGGATAAACGGAAGCGGAGGCAGATGACATCAGAGGCAGCAGTCGGCCCCGAGAAGACCCAACAGAGAAATGACGCTCCTCTCGAGTCAGAGAAGGAGCACTCCACCAAGCCTACTGCCGTCGACCCCGTCCATGATGTGGCCTCCTCTACTACCCCAAGTGTGGATGATGCCCTCAAGGCCACTAGCAGACCACTTGCTACTGCAGAGGGACACCCACAGAGGACGGTCACCAAATCAGTGTCCCCTGGTAGAGCTCCCACTACTACTGTCTCGGCGCCCAAGATGGTACTTCCTACTCCATGCATTGGTGGAGGTGCGAAGCATGTTGGTAAGGCTCATGGTACACCTTCTACTCCCCCTAGGGTTCATCGAAGCAAGCCATCACCACCAGTTGGAGAGGTTTGGCCTAACGTATGGGACAATGCGAGGATAGCTCCTCCATATTATCGCATACCTGAGAAGCACGCTCCTCCTGTGACTTCAAAAGAGATTGAGACGCCTTCTACTGGTAGAGCCGATGAGGAAAGAGTAGCGTCCGATCGCAGCCCGGAAGTTGGTAAGGAGGAGGAGTTGGTCATCCCGGTGAAGGAGGAAGAGGAGGACGTCGTAGCTGCTACTACCCATAGCTCATCAATGGTTACCTCGACTGTTGATATCCTTCTTGAGGAGATCGTAGAGTCTGGCCGATCTCTACCTACTGTTGCACCACCTACTATACCGCCACCCCCACCCCCTGTTGTAGCTCCTAGTAATGTCTCGACTGTCCAAGCTGGTACTAGCCCCATCAGTGATAGCGAGTGGGGGAAGACTATGCTGCTGATCAATGCCTCTGTACAAACTGAGTCACCTATTACTCCTAATATCAAGCAAAGAACGACTGAGACGCAGACGGATGAAGTCCTTACTATGGAGTCTAGCACGGACACCCCTCCAAATCCATTCATGCCTCCCCTGCTTCAGCCAGGTCTATCGTCCTCACTCACCCCTTCTGGTAGTGGAAGTACCCCCACTATGGAAGGGGGGTTGTCATCACTCTTGCCCGACTTTCCGTCCATCGCCGGCCCACCTCCTGGTCTTTCTGGACGTGCTGATGCTGCTGGCTTCCCCTCAAGCATGTCTGTTCAGGCGGGGACCTCCTTGACGCCGCCTGGGGCTGCTGCTGGTGCTGGTGGAGGTGTGGGTTACTATGATCCTATGAGGGTTTATACTACGATGTTGTCGTTACAACAACAGCTACAACAACAACAGCCCACGGCCCCGTCTGTCGCTCAACAACAACTACAACAACAGCAGCCCAACTTCTGGGCAGCAACTAATACGCCTCCCTCTTCTGGTACTCTCATCGGCGGGCCACCTCTGGCACCTGGTACGACCCGTAATGGGCAACCACAGCCGCAGGACCAAAGGATGTTAGATCGTGCTGGCAGAAGTCCAGTGCAGCAGCAGCAGTCGTCTAACACTGAGTCGGCGGCGACTGGCATCTCTGCTCATCACGCTTATCGCGGTTCATCCCGTTACGATGCTAATAGGAGTGGTGGCGTCGCCTATCAACAATACGAACAAGGTCCTCCTCCATCACAAGGCGATCCCAGCTACCCTCTGGAGCAGCATTACTATCGTAGGCAAGGTGGGAAGTACCGTACCGGTAGAGATGCTTCTGGAAGATATTAGTGTAGTTGGAAGCATGGCCCATGATGCTATGACTATTACCTCGTCATAATTCCATACCATTTTTGAACTATTGATCATTATTATCAGCTGATTACTGGTATCAGTACTACTATCTCTGCTATTATCAGTGACATCATGCCTATCATTATGCATCGAGGACTTCATTATGGATGATCATGGTGTCCATAATAGCATTCGTCCTACTTACAGCAAATCCCAGACATTGCTACTTTCGATAGCTTTGATAGTCCCTCAAGTTGCTGTTAGTTATGCCGTCCTTCTTATCGAACAATCCTTAACGAGTCTTCATTGGATGATGGCGCCGCATTGACAGTAGCCATAAGGATAATGTATTGTATTCTAGTATGCTGTCAATTCATACTCTAGGGAGTGTTCTTTAGCCCCTCATCATTGATGATGTTATACCTGATCCGTCACGTCTTTTTCCTAGGATTCAGTTGATACTACTGTTAGCGGTACCATGCTTCACAAGGACGACGTTGATATCGCACTCCGTTCGGGCTGGTGAACGGACCCTGCTAGCTCACATCCAGTGCCTTCCTCGAAGAGATGCTTGGACGCAGAGGTCTCTATTGCACTGTGCGCAGTGGGAGGTTCCGAAGATCGGCAAAGACCAATCACTCCAAGTCGGTAACACGATCATGGTCATCTCGAAGATATATGTCCACCTTGAAGGTATCTTTTTCTTGACCGAGTCAGGACTGAGGTTTTTGAGACTGAAAGCCGATCTTCTGTTCGCCACTGTTCCCTTTGTATGATGTCTGTCTGTTGATGGATTGGTGTGGATGTCAAGTGGTTAGGATCGAACACATGAAGGAAAAGCTTATGATCTTTACGAGGTAAGGACGTTCTCACGCAACTGTATACACCATATGTCGATTAGCAGAGTTGTTGTTCAAGATGCCAGACCATAATTGATATTCTACTACCCCGGACCTCCTGGCATGCTTGAGAGTGAGTGGAACTTCATAGGGGTCTGCGCTGTCATCAGGTCTTGTGTCTTAGAGCCGCTAATGCTGAGAGTAGTTCATTACCAGTAATGGTATGCAGCATAGATCGAAGAATGGCTTCTCCCTGCAGCATGACCCCTTAAATCGCCGTCTATCATAGTGGACTACTTGGTGTTGTTCCTATCAACCACAGAGTTGCTTTATCAATCAAGTATAGCGTTCCCTGTAGTTATATTCATTTTGGGCCCTCACTGCTGGTCTAGCTCCCGAGGACAGCTCTACTCGTCATCGTTCTCGTCAACCTCGTAATCGTCATTATCGCCTATCCATCGACTTCATCATCTAAATGCTCGGAGAATCGTCTCTACCTACAACTACTACCCCACCTATTCATCAACATACCCGTCGTTATCGCCATAATGATGTCACTGGCCATGACGAACTTCAACCAATGACGTCCGCACAGAACAATGTGGCCCTGTTATCTAATACTTCTCCACCCACCGCTGCACCCGATGCTCCAGGAGTCATTGTGAGATTCCATTCTTGCCCTTCCTGCTATTCGCTGCTTCCTCCCTTAGGTGAAACACAAATACGACAAGCCATCGTTTCTACCTATTATACGAAGAGTCCTCGTCCTCGCCGTTGCATTTGGTATATGTCTGTTCCTCGCTGCCACTTGGTAGAGTGCTGCTGTTACCTCTGGCCTAAGCCGGAGCATGCTTTTGTCATTGTAGGTTTGCACAGGGAGTATCCTGGATCTACGACTCCAACCTCAATACATGGCCTATTATCGACTGCCCTGGTTTCATCATCAATACGAGGGATTCCCATGTGGATGGCCCGAGGTAGGTCTTATTGCTATCCACCCGCTTCCAACGTATTCCTCAGGTGCTCCACTAGTATTGCTTACGCCGACAGCCTAGCCCGATATATAGCAAGTATTGGCCTCTCGCCCTCCGACAGCCATCCCTCACAGTATAAGGGTAAATGCATTATACCTGATGACTTCGAGGACGATATTGTCTGCTATAATAGGAGGCCCTGTGATCGCACTTGTAGTGCACCCATGGTCCTAGTCCATATCAGTATGGCCATCTACTGTAGGTTCTACCTTCCCGATACCAGGTAGATGCCCCGATCCTGACACTCTACCTTATGTTGAGACAGTGTCCATATACAAACAGGTATTACGCCGAGCTAGTGATTAGTGTACATTGTTGGATGGTAGGATCTTTGTATGGTTATACTTGGTGATAACCCTTTACCGATGCCCTTGGTTATACCTTGCAAAGAAGTCTCTATTGGTTCCTACTGTGATTCCTCCTTCAAAGTGACTCCATCTAATATGACTGCCATTAGAGGTAGGTTTAATGATACTGTGCATCCGCAGTTTCTCCACGTGTACCGTTTAGGTCTCATCCTCGGCGCAGCCGTTGTTCTATTCATATGGTTCATGGGCGAGCTTATTCTGCGTAATGTTGATATTACACTAAGCAAGGAACGTGCCGAAGTAAGCCATCATTACCCTGTCCTCATCACCCATATCTCCCTTTCTATGATCAGGGTATGGCACGGCAAGCAGTGATATTGCCAGCTAAGAGGCAAGAGCTCCGAGGAAGGCTGGAGGAAAGTTGGGCTGTCGAAGCTAGCATTGCTGTAGCATCACTTGGGCTCGTCTCCTCCCGAAAACACAAAATATGTTCCCTTCAGGGCAGCGACCAGGCAAGCACTGCGGCAGGGTCGGAGAGCTCAATGACCAGATAGTGAGTTATTTGGCAGGTATATCCTACTACGGCTATATCTTCTTTTAGTACTGGCTCCAACTATGGCATGCGCTACCCTGACCAGTCTCCACAGCTCATACCACCACTCAGCGCCCATCATGTGTCCCCACCTACTACTATCGATCGAAACATCATTGATTCATATCGTTACTCGACTCCATCTGCAATAATGGGTTACTCTCCGAAGAGTGAGCGTGTATTGACAAGTACATCGGTCACTACCCGCAGTAGTAATTCCATGCCTGGTAGTAACAGCTCCTATGGTGGTGTTTATCGTATGTCGGCATTCGGTGGGGTTGGGTCTACAAGATATCAAAGAGCCAGATGGAGTCTAGAGATCCCAGAAAGAGGTAATGTAATACTGTTGTGTAGTAGTGTAGTGA